AGTTACAATAGTCAGGGCTCTCTGAGATGGTAAGAATGAGCTACAATGGATAAATGCTAATAAAAAAGAAAGAGAAAAGAATGAGATGCTATAGGTATTCTATTTCCATTAACAGAGTTTTGTCACTTACACAATAAAATACTGTACTGCAGTTGCCCAAAATACACAAAGATGACTCAATGTTTTCTTACTGACTTTGGAGAAAATCCAGGAATATATCACAGGTATTTCCAGCGACTAGCAAATATGTGTCAAAGAGGTTCACAATCCATGGGTATTGAACAACAGAGTTTATTCCCACACATCAAAAGCAAACGAAGTCTGCGTGCAATGTGCTATCTTGCACTGGGTCTTCAAACAGGAAGAAAAAAAAAGGTCAAATCCTAATAAATTTGTAGCTAGTTTATAGCACTGTATAGTCAGTGGTGCAGTAATGTTTTCAACATGTAAACTTGGTCCAGTAAGTTGGATAGACTACAAAACAACTTAAGGATAACACAAATTTCACATTTGCTGATGTAACAAACTGCACCCAGCCACACCAAGTCATGTGGGACTTCTGTGTATGTGCACACACCCCACATCTACCAGCTATCTCAGTTCACTGGGTGTGTAAGAAGCCACTCCACTCACATCTGGAGTTACAAGTTCTATCAGACTTCTGTCACCTTCCTTCCTCTACTTCCCAGTAACTCACAAGCTACAAGTCTTCTAATATCCACTTAAAAGAGCCATGTTTTAGTATTTATGCATTTCTAATCCATTTAACAGATGTAAAAAAGTTATTATTTTTATTAGGTTCCTAATTTTGTCCCAGTGCATGAAGTGCCCCTAAGCCCATTTCTCCAATAAATGATTCTGCACAGTACAGATTTTTATGAATGCATATGTCATATTATAGCAGAACTGACTAGTCAGTGATAAATTCTTGTTTTGACAAATGTGCTATAGATTATGTAAGAAGAAATAGGAACCAAAGTAAACAGCACACAGGAATTCTCTGTATTATCCTCGTGACTTTTCTGAAAATATAAAAATATTTCAGTAAGAAGTCTAAATCAAGAAGTATACATAGTATGTAAGTATATAAAGTATGTAAGTATATAAAACCAAACTTTAGCATAGGATTCTCTATTAGTAATAACTGCTAACACTTCAGTGGCATCTACTTGATGCCAGGCATTGCTCCCAGTGGTAAACACATCACCTCACTAGTTGTTCTCACAGCAAACAGTACAGAAGACCAGTTAAGAAACTAATCCCAATGCATGAATTCAGGCAACTGGATAGTCAACACACTTGCTCCTCAGCTACACTACTTCCAAACACAACTAAATTATTCAAATATTAATCAGATTGTAGTCATTATTCTGGGAAGATTTTCACGCTTAGAAAGGAGCTAAAATTAAAAAATCTAAATAATCCTTCTGAAATATGCTAATACCAAAAAATATTAAACTCTGTTTTTACAGACTATCTCTATTAACATGAATGAGAATGCTAACACAAACTGAAACAACTTTAAAACAACCAATGTGAATATAAAATGTAAATATTTTATAACAATGAGAAACTAAGCATAGGTAGCTAATAAAATGATATATCACCTGTGACAAAAAATATAATTTAAAAGCTTTACAAAATTTGATTGCACTTCATGACTATCAAATAGACACAATGATTTAAGAGTATCAAACCACAAAAATGGCACACACCACATCATAGAGGTTTCCCAGCCTTCATAACCATACAATTTAATTTAATCAAAATTGGCTAAATGAATTTTGGTTAAATGCTAAGGTAAAAGTTTTGCCAACAGGATCTCAAAGCAGAATAAATAGCATGTCAACTTATTAACATAACCTGCTACTGCTTTACAAAATCCTACATAGCTTGAACTCTCTAAAATTCAAATTCTATCTACCCTTCAATGTGCTAAACTTGTGATTCCTAAGTCACCTGTTCATTCAAAAATTATTCACTGAGCATTGCTTGGTACCAGGCACTCTTCTAGGCATCAAGGTTACACTGAGCAAAATGGAAAGCAATTCCCTTGTGGATTTTATATGCATTCATTTGCTTAGTCACTTAACAACAGGCTGAAGACTGCACAGAGTTGGGTAGCCACTCTGCATTTTGGTAGCATATACTCAGAGTTTACTGACTTGCTTCAAATCAATTTCACAGATTATTAAATGTCATCATTTTCCCAAAATAGAAGTGGAGGGGTTGGAGGACCAAGAACAGAAGATGCAACACTGCTGCGTCTCTGAGCAATGTACATTCCCAAAGAAAACCAGGGCACACACAAAGCTCAACAGCGCTCTAGGGAGTCAATGAGGAAGGAACACGAACTTTAACTAGTTTTCAACATTACTATGAAAGAGACAAAAGAGGAAGTGGAAAAGGCCACAAAGATATATCTAGAATATTTTAAATTCTATTTCTTCCTCAGTTTGAAAGCATGATGATGTAAGCAGGCAGTTCTACTGATTTGTAAAGTATGGTCCAGTATCTCAGATAATTCAAGCTGAAGAGCAACTATGTTATACTCATTCAAAATCCCTAATACAATGCGAGGCACATGTCAGGTGCTTAGCAAATAGTGGGTGGGTAGGTGGAGAAAGGAATTCATGTTCTAACAAATAAACACTCGGTTCACCTGATGTAATGGTCCTAATAACTGGGAACTGAATGCCAACTAATCAATGAAGAATCCTCAAAAGGGAAATAATAACTATTATTATTATTATTATTACTAAGCTACAACTCAGTAGCACAGTAGTTTGAATAGGGCACAACTTTGAATAGGTTAAAAAAAGAGCAGGCCTTTACAGTGGGTTAAAACAGTGACTGATCTTCAAGCCATCAGAACCTGGGTAAACACCAACCTGGATCTTCTCCCAGGTTAGCAGTGCCTCACTCCCCCTCAGGACACCCTACAGCCTCTTTTTCACATGGCACAAGAAGGACATAATTTACACAATCAGTATGTATTTCAGAGTACTCACTATATAAGCACCATCCTAGAATCCCAGGGACCCAAGCATATGGAAGGGAAGATTTCAGCCTTGGGAGTTAGTTTGGACGGTTAAAGATGGATGTGTTTAAAGAAGAATACAAAGGGAGAAAGGCAGAAATGAAATGACTAACAATAACACAATGTAAAAAGTATCAAATAATTATGAAAGTATAGGGAAAAGAATAACTTGCAGGAGATTTCACAGAAGAGGCTATGGCTGCAGCATAATTGTGGGTTCACTTTTCATAGCCTAAATTATCACATGATAGACACATCGCCACTAAAACCTATCGTTCTTTCTCATTCTAACTAGAGAAAAACTACTTAATGTGAAAGACTTTCTTGAGAAACAACCAAAATATCTACATTTTTCCAATGGTTTTAAAAATGAATATAACTTAAGAATTCATAAGAAATCAAGTCTTTTAAAAGTTTTACTAGGCATCATAATCCAAAACTGATAAAAAAAATAGCTTTATCTTCTAATTACCTTCTGCTGCAGTATAGTACAACTAAAGTTATTTTTGTAATTCAAATCGTTCCTTGAGGTAAGTTTCATAAAGGACCCACAGGGTATTCAAAAGTAGCAATGAACATTGTCCAACTACTTCGGAAAACCAATTCTAAAACTTCAGGTTAAGATCAAATGTTTAAGCAATCTTCATAAAACAATAAAAATGCATCCAAATCTAAGGAGAAATCACATTTTAAAAACTCTTAGCAGACAGTAGCCCTTAAAAGTCATCTCCATTGAGATTAGGTCTCTTTTGCAAATAGGCAGGGAACAAAAGAACTATATTCTGAAGAACTTATAAAAATTATGAATTTATGAAACACATTCACATATCACTACATAGATCTAAAATTATTTGAAAATGAAAAAGGCATCCCAAGGTTTTTCTTTTTCTTCATTTTTATCAGAATAAAAAGTTACTTTTTTTGTTCAAAGTGTAGTACAAAATAAGGAGTTTATATTTTTAGAGCTTACTAACCTGCAACCCTAAATAAACAGAGGTTCAAATCCTAGTTACACATACAAAAACCTTAGCATGCTAGTAAATCTCAGCTTTTTATAATAAAAGAAATAATACCAAATTATTTGGAAACCAGATACAAGTATGTGCCAAATATATAGCAATTACTCTATAGATATGACTCTTCGTTAATAATACCCAAACCTAAAAAATAGGATACTGGGTAGAGGCAGCAAGTGAAGAATGAGGGAGCCAAATGAATTCCAATTTCATTAATACCCCTTAACACTAACTTTCCAGTAGGTAGAGTTAGTGACAATGACATCAAGCATAACTAACAGGAAATCTTACAGAAGAGTCTATGGTTGTAGCATAATTGGGGTTTTACAGTGTTTTGTAGTTTAAAAGCAGTTTCACATACATCAGTCATTTGCTTCTAAAAATATGCAATGTGAGTAAGCCAGACCAAGTGTCAACTCATTTGAAAGATAAGCAAGCTCAAAATCAGAAAAGATAAATCATGCAATTAATAATCAAGCCACATTTACTAGTGGGCCAGCTCACCATATGCAAAAGATCTCACAGCCAGACATTTACTACTCTGTTACCTTCTCTCTCTACTTAGTAACTGACCAAACTAAGCAAGGTGTGCTCTGCACTGCTCTCTTCTCTCAGGTGCTAGTTTGGCCTAGGGCTAATGGCCTATCCATCTTTGATCTATGCACTGAGGTAAACACATCCTCCCGGTTCACTCTCAAGTAGGGGTGTTCTGGCCTCCAGAGCATCATGAAATGGTAATACCGGGACTTCATGCCTATATGGCGTACAGTAGATACATTTTTGCTTCAGGATCATTTAAGAAATAAGTTGAAAATCATTTTATTATCAGAAAAAAAGTTTAGGTTACATTAAAACTATTGTATTTTTAAATTTAAGGTATTCACCATGAAACAAAAAACCATGTTATTATTTAGAAAGAAAGTTTTAAAATTCAGGTCACGTACCAAGCTTCAGGCAGCAAAACAGAATATTCGTGTGGAGAAGTGGTTTCTGGGAAGTTGGAGAGAATGGCGAGGCGATGAGGAAGAAGGTCTGAGCCATGGTAAGTAAACAGAATTTCTAGGGCTTGTACATTACTTTCCTGAACAAAATGCAAGGGGAAAGTTTCAATTGTGAATCTTAGAAATAAAGGGCTGATTTTTATGACAACATTAAAAACCTTAAAAATAACTGTTTTAGTTTTTTTTCATGGTACTGGGATTTGAACTCAGGGCTTCATACTTGCTAGGCGGGAACTCCACCACTTGAGCCACTCCAGCAGTCCTTCTTGGGGTTGAGTATTTTTGAGATAAGGTCTGGAGAACTATTTGCCCAGGGGTGGTTTTAAACCACAATCCCCTGATCTTTGCCTCCTGAGTAGACAGGTTTATAGGCATGTGCAATCGGTGCTCGGCCAAAAATGAGTTTCTTTTTTCTTTTGCTGGTACTGGGTTTGAACTCCAGGTAACTCTTGCTAGGCAGGCACTCTTCCATTTGAGCCACTCTGCCAGCCCAAAGCTAACTTTCTTCATGCAGTTCTGATAAGCAGCATTTTGAAATATTCCTGATTTCTCCTGACCTGCGTCTTGTTTCTCAACCACTACAAAATTATTTTATATTAAAACTCTAAATGAATAAAATTTTTAAACATAACTCCATTTTCTCTATATTTATCAATATTACAACAGAAGAGAAAGTGTAATGGTTTATGTATGCAATAACATTAACTGCCAGCTCAAAGATTTAGAGAGCTAATAACCATAATTACTCTATTTATAAAAAAGAAATTACCCGAGCATAAGTTCTTGCTGACAGAACAATATTCTGACTTCTGAACTTCTTAAAGAATTCAGCATCATATCTCTGTTCAGACACATGAGGCACTCCAAGGATTTCCTGAGGGAAACAGTGATATAATGAATATGTTTTTAAGCATGGGTGACAAGAAAATATTAAAAACCTTTACAACTGGGCATGCCTAAATACATAAAACCCAAATTAGTTAATTTCAATTACCAACTGGTAACTAAAATACCACATCTGCATTCTTGATTTTAAAAGGGACTATATTTATAAATGCTATTAATTTTTTTAACTTCACAAGTAAATGAAATAGTGAAAATTAATTGAATTAAATACTAGGACAACCAAAACCAACTACATGGTAAAAACAAATAAGCAAAAGCTATGAACACCTGCCACCGCTACACAGAAACTTTAATTTTACTACTGTAGAGTGATATGTTCAATGAGGACTGAACCATTCATTCATTCAAACAAAAATCATTTAGTATTCACTATGTGCTAGGCATTTCTGATACACTGAACAATTCGCTTTTCCTACCTTCCAATAACTTAAAATCTAGTAGGGAAATGACCAAGTGTATTTTTTTAAAAAAGCATTTGTGAGACACCAGAACTCTGAACATGCAGGAGGTATCAGATGATATTAAGGAACTGCTACTCGTTTTATTACCAATAACAGTACATTGTTACTTCTTTCTTTCTTTCGGAGGGACCAGCAGTACTGGGATTTGACCTCAGACCTACCACTTGAGCCACACACTTTTAGTTTGGTTCCCAGATAGGATTTCATGGTTTTCCCTGGTCAGCCTTGGACCATAACCTTCTTACATATGCTTCCCACACAGCTGGGATTATAGTCCCTCAACACTACACCAGCCCCTCAGTTTTATTTCTAAAAGATCTCATCAGTTAGAGTACAGATACATTCATGGGTAAAATGACGAGACTTCTGAGATGTGCTTTAAAATATTTCAGTGAAAAAAAAGGCAGGAATGGGAAAGGGGAGAGTGAAAGATACAAAATTGACAATATATTGAAAATGGCTGAAGCTGAGGATTACAACAGGATTCATTACATTGTTCTCTACACTTTCATGAATGTTTGAAATTTCAATAAAATGCTAAAAAAAAACCCGATAAACATAAGACAACAAAATAGAAATAGATGCCACTGTTCTTCAATATTCCTACCACTCCCTAAGAGATGTTCTTTCCTAGAATGTATTACAATCATTTTCACAGTTTTCAGATTTTCTAAACTCCAGCATCCTATTCCCCAGCCCACATTCTCAGCTAAAAACAAAACAAGTTTTTTTTAATTGACAGTATTAAATGGGAAATACTTCCTTTTCCAACTCATCAAAACCGTAAATCTAAAAACTTCAGATTATGTAATTTCTCAGGCACCTTCTCTCAGGACCACCCCCCCTCCAACTGTGGGGGTTCCACTCTCCCACTTTACACTTTTCTATCTCAATAAATTCTCCCACTTTCACTTTTAAAAAACTACAAATCTAATCTGCCTGCATCTATACCAATGCGATTTTCCTTCCTTCTGTTACAAGAGAAAGTTTCTCTGTACCTTTAAAAGTCTCAAAACTCCACCTACGCTTGGGATCCTATTTCTACTCATCCTATAATAACCCTGTAAATACCCTGCATTTCTTCCATGTGATCAAATACTCCTCATCCCTATGGGTTCATTCCCACCATCATACAAACAATATTTACTGGTCCTTACATAAAAAAAAAAATCCTTAAACTCATAACCCCTCTAGCTTCCATCATCTTCTCAGCCTCCTTTCATAAAAGAGCTGCACACAACCACTGCCTCCATTTCTGCACTTCCCAAATTTCCCCAAACTCATTCAACATAGAAAAACTCAATTTGAATCCTTAGCGTGGATGAGACCTTTCCAAATGTGGTCACAAATATGGCCATAACCATCTCTCCCACTTTTGCTCTGTGTTGCCCCATATCCCATGGTCCAAGTATCCATACTTTCTTAAGAGCATGCATCTTCTCTCCCACCACTAGGCCTTTACTAGCACAGGCTGCTAATCTAGCAGAACCTGCTAATCAGAAAGACATGGACATGAGTTCTTGCTTCCAACTTATTTTTTATCTTCTCTAAGCCTCTCTCTTCACATCCATAAAGTAAGGAAGATAGTAACTACCTTGAGAACTACTGAGAAATAATTTTTACTTAATACATGAGACACGGGCTAATAGCCAATATGTGGGTATTTTGTTTTAAGTACTCTATTCACTGGTTCTTTCAACAAATCTTTGCTAAGCTCCACACCGAGCCAGATACTACTCTGAGCTCTGGAGACAAGGCAGCAAAGATAAAATCCTTAACTTCAAGGAGACTGCGTTCTCATGTCTCCCTTACACGGAAGTACCCCTCGCCCCTAAAATCTGCCTTTGGTTTTTGGTTTTTGTTTTGTTTTGTTCTTAATGACTAGTTGAAAGGTTACTTCCTATGTACAGTCTTCTCGAACATACTCAGGAAGAATTTGATATTTTTCTCTACTGTGCTTCCTTGTCAATTCTCCATACCTTTATAATCATCACTTAACATCTATGTACTATGGGCTGGAGGAAATGGTTCCTTACATCTCTCTGCCTACAGCAATGGCAAAAGATCGGGCATACAGTAAGCATTCAGGTAAACATTCCACAATGATTTCACAATCTCTAATTTTTACCAAAACTAGTACACAAGAGAACTTGTTTCTGAAAGTACTTAATTTTCCCACATAAACAGCTTTAAATGACAGTGATATCAGATTAGAGTGGCCATAGCATTTAGAATAACATCAAATGAACATAACTGTTCTGATTAAAATGATTTCTTACCTCATATGTTGCAAGTCGATCTAAGTAAGTTAATAACTTCAGTCTACAACGGCAAAGTTCTTTTTGTTCTAGTGTCAACCTGTTTGGAATAACTAAATTAGGCCACTTATATTTACCCAGAAGCACATTTCTCTTAGTGTTAAAATAGAGTGAAAAATATTAATACTCCACTGAGCCCAAAACTCTTGGAAAAATATACAAAATTACATGGGTAAAACAGTATTAAATGAAGTTGCTGAAATAACTTACAGTAATTAACACTAGTGAAAAATACAATGAAGTGACTAGTTATTTTAAAGAAATTACTGAATGAGCAGTGAAAACTTATTTACTTGGAAAAGTTCATTAATTTAAGTAGTTCTTCTCTCTTTTTGTGCTCTGTTTCCATTTTAGTCTGGGCGAGCTCTTCATCAGGTAGCAAAAGTTCCTCATAGGGGATGGTGTCAATGTCTACCTCACCAGGTAATGTAAATCTGCAAGAGAGAAAGAACACTCAAATCTATTCTCTTATTTTTGGCTGATTTCCACAGAAATAAGCAATTAATTATTTTTAAAAAATTTTGCCAAACAAAATTATTTATTCATTACATTCATAGGTTTGGGGGAAAAGTCATGGATAAGTATCACAGAATTTTAAAATCAGGAAAATGTGAGGATACAATCATCCAATATAAAATAGTCCATGCAGAAAACATTGCCCACAGAGGTTACAATTTGAATTTATTACATTTTTTAATCTTAAAATGGTAACAAATGAATTATTTACTTATCAGATATACTATCCTTTATATTTCAAAAGGAAGTCCCCATGGCTGATAAACAGTGACTTGTCAAATATTTTACTACTATTATTATTAACTGACATTTAAATAGTGTTTTCACAAGATATATAATGTAATCCCTAAAAGTAATTCTTAGAAGAAGATATGATCCTACAAATAAAGAAAGTATAAGCTCAGATATGTCTAAGATTCTTTGTCTTACTTGTAAGTAAGTCAACTCAGGTTGACTAAGCCATAGCTTAGAAATCACCAACATTCAGTAAATGTTTGTGCAACTTGATGCTTCCTCAGCATCAAGCTACCATATGCAAACACGTTTAATGAAAGCAAAGAAGCTTTGACCTAAGATTAGAAAGCACTGGTCAAAAGCAACTGCTTCAATACAGAGTGATTTAACACTTACCTGGTCTAGTGTTTTGTTTTACTTTGTTTTGTTTTGGGGCAGTACTGGGTTTGACTTCAGGGCATCATATTTGTTAAGCAGGCACTCAACTATTGTCAACTATTGAGCCCCAGTCCCTGATCCAATGTCTTAGGATGAAAGTTTTCACAATCATCTTTGTTATGAATTCAAATCTTCCTATAACCAACCTGCCATCATCTGTTCCTTTCCCTATTGCTAAAAGAGCTTCCAGGTCTGTTCCTTTTAATCCATACTGAAGCAATTCTTTTGCAGCATCCACATTTTCAGGAACTCTCTCCAAACACTCATGGAGAACCCAGGATCGCTTCTTTATTTTACTCTAGATATAAAGAAAATAAATGCAGAGCATTTGAAGAATGCATTAACTTCTTACAGCACTTGACAACTGCCTTCTAGAACTTATTTAAGAACCTGGCCCAAAGTTGCTGCTTGAGAAGCTCAGCCTAAAAGTAGCTAACTCCCTAATTGTGATTCCAATTGGATAAAGAACGTATGATTCCAACTGCTTTCTTTATTCTTATAATGAGCCATGGGAAAACAAAAAGTTCCAGTGCTCTTTCTTAGGAATAAAAAGATTTTTGCCTCTGGTTTGAATTTGGTTTGAACAGAAAAAAATTGAGCAGAAAAGCACAATAAGATAGTTCCTACTGTAATAAGCATACTTACCTTTGAAACAAAACTTATGAGGCAGAGCACATTGGGGTTCTGTATTTTTTTGACCATGATATGTATCACATAGCACAATACTGGGAAATCACCATATGCTACTCTTTGGAAAGACGAAGGGCCTGTTCCCTCCTCCCAACTGCTTCCTCCAACCTCATTCAAAATGCCTGACTTGCTTCTTCCTAGATAATGTCAACATTACAAATCTGAAGTAATATTTAACTCATGCCCTATATTTCTTTACACATTCCACCACATCAAATCTTTCTCCAAATGTCCCTTACCTCATTTCCCTATTTTCATATCTACAGCCCCCATACAAGTCTAAATCATCAAAACATAATAGCTGGGACACTATTAAAGCCCTATGCCCCACAACAGGGTTTTGTACACCACTCTCCTCCTACTCCTGTCCTCTTCTAGATCACCTGCCACCAATACACCACAGTTCCCCACTACCCTAAAGATAAAACCTAAGGATTTCAAAATCCTCCAAACCCCAAATCAATGTATCTTTCTAATCACGTTCCCTGGTGTTCATTAACATCAATTATCAACTCCATTTTTTTAATGAAATGTCTGCTGACACCTGTGTGCCAGACAATGAACTAGAAGTGAGGATAAACAGTGAACAGACAGATCTGGCCACTGAACTCATGAGTCATGTTTATTGTCTTTTAATCTGCTGACATCATTTGCCCTCGTGGTACACATGTAGCTCACTGTCCTAAATCACAAAAATGAAAAATAATGTAGGTTTTGAGTCTGAGTTTCAAAAACAAATACAAACAACCTTGTCTTCTTCCTTTCTCTATCATTTCTCATTCTTTCACATCTCTGGTATCTTTTATTAAAATTAACAATCATCCTGTTTGAAGCATTAAATTCCTACAAATACCTTTTTAAGTGTTTGTTTATTTTTAATTACTCATGTACTCAAACTTTTAGGAAAAAAAATTATCATGAAATTTTCTCAATATTTCCTAGAATCTTCCTAAAGGCAAAAATATTTTTCTTTCCAGATGTCAGAGCATGAGTCCCAACCTTTTTATAAAATTGCCATGAGTTCAAATATTTCCTTACAAAGATGTCAAAGGTCAAAACACACAGGCTTGCTATGAACTGAGTGTATCACCCAAAAGTCATACACTGATGCACTGAGAGACCATCTCACCCTCAGAGTGGCCATCATCAATAAAACAAACAACAACAAATGCTGGCCAGGATATGGAAGGAAAAGGAGCCAATTTACACTATTGGTAGGATTGTAAATTAGTGTGACCACTACAAAAATTCCTCAAAAAACTAAAAATAGAACTACCAAATGATCCAGCAATACCACTCCTGGATATATACCCAAAGAATTTAAGTCCAAATACAATAAAGATAGCTAAATACCCAGGTTTATTGCAGCTCTAGTCACAACAGCCAAGCTATAGAATCAGCCTAAGTACCAACAACTGATGAATAGATAAAGAAAATGTGGTACATATACAAAATAGAGCATTATTTAGTCATTAAAAAAAGAATGAAATTTTTCCATTTGCAGGAAAATGAATGGAACTGGAGATCATCATGTTACGTGAGGTAGACCAAACTCAGAAAAACAAATACCATGGTTTTTTCCTTATATGTGGAAGCTAAATTTAAAGAGGAAAAAAAGACATGAAAACAGAGGGGGATTGTTTGGGAGGAGGAAGGTGACCAGAGGGAGAGAGGCTGGGAGGGTCAAAAGAGGGTAATGGTGGGGTGAATAAGATCAAAGTATATTACAATACGAAAACGTCATGATGAAACCCGTTTTCAAAAATGTATGAAAAAATCATATGTTGAAAACTAATCCCCATGTGATGATATTCAGAGAGCCAGCCTTTGATTTGTGATTATGTCATGAGAATAAAGCCCTCATGATAGGATTAGTGACCATACAAGCAACTGGCAAGAGCTTGCTCCCCTCTCTCTGCTCTCTAACATATAACTATATAGCAAGAAGTAACCTATCTGCAAACCAGAATGAGGGCCCTAAACAGGAACCAAACTGGTTAACACCTTGATTGTGGACATCGCAGCCTCCACAACTATGAGAAATAAATTTTTCTTTAATTCAATCCAAAAAGACTAAGATATGGCTACAGTAGAATTTTAACATGGAAGGACACAATTCTGGGATTTAAGCAAAAAAAGAAGTATTTGACAAATTTGATTCAGGAAATATCTGTTTATTACCTCTCAGTTCCACCTTTTCCCTCTAAACAGGCCAAGTGATAGCATTTCTTACCTGCAGATGACATCATATAAAGTTGTCAACAGAGGGCACTGAAGGGCCACTACAAAAGAAGAGGCTCTAGCCTCTAGTACTCAAGTGCTTTGGTTCTTTTCTCCTTGCTCCTAAGGCTTGGCAGCCGGCAAAGCAAGGGGATATCCAGTGGCATTTACTTCCCACTCCCTACTGCGTGACAGCTTCAGAGATGCTCCCATGGGCAGAATTCTTCCCAGTGTATCTCCCAAACACCTGAGCAGAATGCTTTCCTAACTGGGCCTGCCTACAGCAGTGGGGAATGTTTCTTGCCAGTCCTGGCCATGAGTCCTTATTTATCTATCAACCTTCAGTGGTGTGCTGCTGCTGGGCGACTTCCTGCTTGCCTGCCTGGGGCTTTCTGACCCATGATTTCAGCTCACTGGGACCTTGGCAATAGACATTCAGCTTTACCCATCTCTGACTGCCAATCTCAGCAACTGTGGACCAGCCCTAGCCCAGCACAACACTATAAACTTCTCTTTCATCTAATTTGCTCCAAATACTAGCATACTCCTTGTCCAATTACATATGAATCCAACTAGAGAACCCAAGCCTCCTTCCCAAGTACATTCCCTCCATGGGCAAGTTCCTTCAGCCCAAGAATATTTTTTAAATTCTCTTTGCCCCTTTAAACTTAATCTTGTTTACTATAAAATAATTCTAATTGAAACTTTCCCTGTGACTCTTGAGTAGACCATGACTAATGTGAGTGAGGAGAGGTACAGTAAGGGAAAGGACCAGGCCAAGCTTGGGTAGTTAGCTTGTTGGTCAGTGACTATTTATTCAAATATCTTCAGCACCAAAGTCTAGCTACACAGGCAACAGATTCTGGCAAAACAAGTTTTCAGTTGAGAAAACCACTTCATCACCTGCAGAAAAGTCAGCAATATAAAGTACTTTAAAATGAAGTTTATAAGCTAAAGACAGTCCATGAATTTTGCCATGTGGCAAAAACATTTATACATACCAAGTAATTCTGAATTGAAGCAATGTTGACGGCTGACTTCCTCCATTGTCTCTGATAGACAAGGTCAGTATCCAAGGCATAAGTGTGAGCCAAAGACAAGGCTTCCTCATACTCTTCACTTTCAATCTTTAGGTAAGGAAATGGACACAGGAAGGTTACAATATTGAATTGTCCATGGGGTCACGAGAATGATGGAACAAATGAGAATAATCTCCTGGAACCTACACAGCAAGTTATGAATTCATGGGCAAGGTGGCATCAGAAACCTACAGATGTTTTTAGCAGATATACTGGGAAAGATGAGAGACCAACTGTGAAAAGCTCTTGAATACACAGTCAAATAATGGAAAAACTAGGGTTAGAGGCAGTTCCACAGCCCAGTTCCTGGTCCAGGGCTCCTCTCACAACAATGAACAGAACAGCACAAGTTACTCCAACTGGCGGTGGTGGTCATATGGGCTTCTCAAGCAAGCCCCTAACTGCTTCCCTCACCAGCTGTAGTCTGAATAGACAGCTATACTTAAATATAGATACTGGGAAGCTGAAGGCACATGGATAGCAAATACCCCAGCTAAGCCACAAAGCATGTAATTAGTTGGAATGAATTCCTCTCCCATCTACTGTTTTGATTGCGATTACTTAGGTATAAAGACCAGTGTAATTTTCAAAAGCTTTATAATACTGATATTTCTAATATGTCAATGATTCAACAATCTGTCTTTAAATTTCTTCCGTTACTGAAATATTAGCCTCTTTCCAATAAAATACAAGACTGATGCCTTCACCCTTTGGTAGTATAAGGCGCTCTCACCTTCCTCTGGTAAAGCTCCTCTGGAGTTGTAGAGCGCAAACTCACAAGACGATAGTTTTTAGTAATGGCTCGTGGGCGTTTCCGAGGAGGCGCAAACCGCTCCATCTCAGTCACTAGGTAAAGGCCCTGTTTTATGTAACCAAAATAGCGAGCCTTGGCGGATGTTTCATGCTCAGAGTCAGAATCCTCTTCTCCTTCATTTTCTTCTCCAGCCCTCATCTCTAAACGAGATCTTTTGGGGGCAAGTTTAATCTCACACTGTATTTAAAAAAAAAAAGAGAGAGATACAAAATTAATAGGAACTAAAGACAACTTTTTAGAGTTAATGAAAAAAAATACTTCTAATTCTGTTCTGATTTGATTCATTACATGTGATTTATAATAGAATTCAAAGGAACCAAAACATAAATCAAAGTCTCCAGAAACATGTACATACATGTGGTCTCCAAATCTCCAAAATTAAAACTTATTTTAATGTTAGGTAGTTGATATGGTCTTGCAAATATATGCCTATAATTATTTTAAAGAATTACAGAAGTTGGGAATATGAATTTGTTTTACTTTTGATGTTTCTGTACTTGCTGTGGAAAATAAGGTAGTGGTTTCAAGAATGAGCATGGAGGTATTTGTTTGCTATACCAGGAATAACTCTCCCACATCCCTTTTAAGAAGTCTAATGGCTTTACAAAGTGCTGCATCTAAAAGCCTGACTGCTAAAGATAACTTTCACTGCAACCACAACAGAGTTGGCTGGGGTTTTAGACCATAGTTTTCTTTAAAGAACATCTTTAGACTCAGTAAGAAACTGGAGTAAAAATTATTTGTCAATGTACATTTTCTAAAGTGAAAGCTATGGGAGTTATTACCACTGAAAGACTTAAAATAAGAATTTTAAATAAGCAAATCATAACTCTAAAGAACTAGCCTTTATTTTCAAACCTTTCATCATGATAACCAAGTTCTTCTTACTAAAAGGACAAAAATTTTAAGTTGCCACTGGATAACACCTAACCTAGTCTACATTTTGAGACATAGAATACCTTTCTATATTTTGACATGTCTCATCTAGAAAAAAAAAATTATCATGTTCTGTAGAAGAAACACTTTACAAAGAGAAAAATTACAAGTTTTCTTCATTCTCTTATAATGAAATTTTTTAATTAACTGAATAATGCAATTATTTTTATATTGTACTCGATATCTGGTTTCAGGCATATATTTTTGTTTTGAACTAAAATAAAAAGCCAGATGTTTAATTTTTGGTGAAACGCATGTTTACTCTCAAAGAGGAAAAGCCTTACCTCCAAACTTAAAAATCCTCCATCATGGGTAGCAGTGACTTGAGGTGATGGTTCAAACCATTCACAGGATTTTCCCAGTAAATTCTTCAAGGTTTTCACTGATGAAACAGTTAAAGCACCAGAACAGCGAGCTAAAGTCACTGCGCCTTCTGCCCACCAATTGACATCTATCAGTGGATAAAAGGACTCTTTATCTAATGGGGGCAAAGAAGATTAATGCAAATGCATCTTTGAAAGTGGTTTAAATAAAATATATTTAATATAAAAGTTTTAAATACAAATTTGCCTGTATTATCTGAGCACTAAAGTTATCTTAACAAAAAAAAATTAAAGTCATCAACTTTTTACTTGGGTAAAAGGTACAAATTAGAACAGTAAATCATTCAACAAATACCTGAGTGCCAAAAATTCGCCAAAGCCCAAAGCTCTAGGGATATAAAGGTAAGTAACTTATGGTCCTTCTCATGAAGTGGGATGTAGCTCAGTGGTAGAGCACTTGCCTACCATGTGTAAGACCCTGGGTTCAATGCCCAGCACCAAAACAAACAAACAAACAAACAAAAATTTGTCAAAAAATTAAGTATATACTTGAGAAAGAGATATGTCACCATTTTCAAAAAAAAAATTGAGACATAGGTGTATATAAAGCACACATATACAAGATTATAAAAGACTTTAGAAAATATATGTCTAGTGTTTTCAAATTAACACTGAGAAATTATACCATTTAAACAAACTAAGACAGATTCATAATTGCTTCCAGTGTTGATTTCTTATTAAATGTTTAAGTAACAAGAAAACCATTCAAGGCCAATAAAGAATTTTGAGATTAAAATGACTTATGGTTCACCAAACTGAAGGATTCAAAAGGAAATGCCATGAAATTTTATTATAATTTCAGTGCACTTTTTTTAAACCTTAGCTGTTCCACAATGGATATGATATTGTTTAAAGGTAATGCAGTAAGTTTAAAAACGTATGTAAACCAAGGAGAGACAGATTTTTAAATTGGAGTTTGGCACCATGAAAATAACTCATTATCTTATATAAAAACAAAGACCATAACAGCATTTTCTTCCAATGGAAGTCTACGGCGATTCACATAAATAAGGACTTTCTAGACAATGTGACTGCTCTTGGGGTTCACATTTCCAACAGTGGGAGGAATAACTTACTTAAATCACACCCTCACTTCTACTTCAACAAAGTATAACTTTTTATCAAAAGTGCTTTGAAGTATGTGGGATGACTACACAACAAAAGCAGATAAGGCAAAGCACAGAACCTGATACGCATGGCATTCATAAATCAGTATTTTTGGTACTCTTTAAATACGAATTAAAAGCGTATTATGAGAGAGATCTTGAACCTCGTGACCATCACTGACTTTGTAGGAAACACTGAAAAACTCAAGGACATTTAACTTCGGAGTTTGGCCTAAAGAAAAATGATCCTGTAGCTGGGTTGGGGGGTGCAGTTCAGTGGTAAAACACTGCTACCAACCACACAAAAAACCCTGACTAAAGTCCTGAGCACTAAAACATGATCCTTAATCAAAACCTAAAAGTAAACATCTCAAAGTAGACCTTACTTCAAGGAAGATTTATTTAGTCTACCAAACTAAGTAATAATTTTTACTTTCATTTAAAAGTAAATCTTAATTTTTTCCTATTTATAAATACAGTATGTGCTCATTTTAAAACTAATTTTAAACATGGAAAAAAAAAAAAAAAGGCCCTGTAGCTTAATCCTAATTAGCTCAGTCCCAGAGTCAAGTGCTCAGGGTTTGTCCCTACTGAGTCTCTGGTGCTGTCTGTGTCTGCAGCACATGAGAAGCAGTGTGCTAGTGAACTTAGAGTTCAGTGTGCGTTTCAGTGCTGGCCTGTGGCAGGACTGTTGTGCACTTGGGGATCTGTTTGGCCTTTGGGAAAACCTAGCACAGAAAACTGGGTCTGGCTGGGCATGGTGGCATACACCTGTGATCCTAGCACTGGGGAGGCTGAGGCAGGAAGATCGGGAGTTCAGTCAGCCTGAGCTACATAGCAAGATCCTGTCTCAAACAAAACAACAACAAAAAAAAAAAAAAGAAAGAAAGAAAACTGGGCTTACTGCCTAGTTCCACTTCTGTGAAATTCTGGAGTTTCTTCCAAGGTGGAGAAAAGGTAACTAGCAACTTTTAATATCTTCTAAAGAACATCTGTATGGTAAGAGGGGTCTCTTAAGGTTGTAATGACCATACTTTCTTTCAACTCACCTTTTATTTTCTTTCTTTTCTCAGTAGAAAATCTCCACTCAGGATTAAGCTCATCATAACCTGGCTAAATATGAAATATGCACAAGTCAACCACTGAAGAAAATTGTGAGAAAATTGTGGAATTTTCAAAATAACAATTTAAGTAAATGATCTTCCCATTACAACTAAGTGAAGTTGTAACCCATAACCTGAGAAAGCAATTGTTGTTACACTTAAAATGTTCACAGGCAAGAATTGTGACTCCACTTTATGCAAGAAATAGCAAGATGAAACAGCACATATATGATTAACACAAATGAACACCAGACACACTAAGAATTCACTGTACACATCTACATTCTGAGGCTGAGGCTATTCTGTTGGGATCAAACACTGACCTTCGTATAAGTCCAAATCCTTCCCCTTTTAAACTGAGCTTAAAAAAAAAAAGTCTCCATTTAAAAAAAAAAGGTAGCAAGACCCCTGTAGGCTTTGGTTTTCAGAGCATTACTAGTCAAACTTCATGAAACCTACTAGTTCTAATTTTTTTTTTTTTGCTAAACATATATTAAGTTAAAAAAAAAAAAACAAAACACCATAACCATGCACTCTTCAAATTGGATCTACTCCTACTCTGATCTTAAGGCAACGCTGTATCATGCTCTCCTTTGAAAACACAGCAGCATATTGGTATCTCTCAATTATCGGTATCTCTCAATTACAAAGCCCTTGAGATGAAGTCACTGACAGATACCTTCTTGGTTTAACTAATGTTCCTTAATCTTCAGAATTACAACAGTATGGGGAAAGCCAGTAAGAAACCACTTGCATGTTTAATTGAAATCCTTAATCTTAAAAAAAAAAAAAGTTGCCAGGTACCAGGGGTTCACACCTGTTCCTAGCAGGTTGGGAAGCTGAGATTAGGAGGATCAAGATTCAAGATCAGCCAGGGAAACAGTTTGTGAAATCCCATCTCCAAAAAGTAACCAGAGCAAAATGGACTGTCACGTGGTTCAAGCAGTAGAGCACCTGCTTTGCAAATGCGAAGCCCTGAGTTCAAACCAAAAAAGAAACAAATGTTGCCAATAGAGTGACTATAGTTTACAACAATTAACTATGTGTTTTATAAAGAACTAGAAGACAGGAATTTGAAGGTTTAAGGAAATAGAAGCTTTAATCATCCTGATTTGATACACTACATAAATGTATAGAAATATTACACTGTACCCATTAAATAAGTACAATTATGTGTCAAAGTTAAAATATTGCAAATGTTATAAAAACAAATTTTTAAAGTACTGCTATACTTGAGTCAAACTAAATGAACTTTTCATTTAATGCAACAAAATAAGCTTGTATATAATAATTTATCAGTGAACTACACTTGAGAATATTAAAATAGTATTTCTTTGCATAGCCTGACAGAATTTCTTGCTCCCTGTTATTATAATAAATCACTTACAGCAATCCCTGAGAATGGAAGACATAAACTTTAAACTGTATGAGAAAAAAAAAGGTACCATAAAAAACTATTTATATGCCAAAAAAGAAATGAAATACTCTAGTTTACTTAATCACGAAAAAGTGATAAAGTTTCAAAGATGAAAATAACCAACTATATTGGATCTTATTTAATCAGTTACAGGGTACTTGACAGTCTCATGCCTCTGAAGCACCTTGACTGGACATGTACATCGAACCATTCATTCATTCATTTGCTTGTTTGGGGTCTCTTTATGTAGCTCAAGCTGACCTCAAATATGAAGTCATACATGCTGGGATTGTAAGTGTGCACAACACCAAACACAGGGTCCCCACCACTTACTTATATCTTTCTACTTACATTCTAGAATATACAAGGGCAGAATGGATTAAAACTCTAAAATCTGAATCCTTTCAAACAATAATTATGATGGAGCCTTGGGTAAATTTAAGGACGTATAGATCACAATGAAATCTGACAAGACAAATTGAGGAAAAAATTAAAGAAAATTCACCTCACTAGCATAGAACTTTACGAATGCAGAGTACACTTGCATTCAAAGCTAATGACGAGGAGTGGGGATGTGGATCCATGCTAGAAGCACCTGCCTAGCACTTCCAAAGACCTGGGTTCAATCCCTGGCATCACAACTTCAACAACAAGCACAGCTAATGAGGAGAAGGAGCACCGTGAACAAGTACTCATCTACTACAGCCAGCCTGCAGAACTTTGAGAACAAGCTGCTCCTTGCATACTGCTCAGACAGTGGGCTCTCCTACAAACTCAATTCTCAACACAAGGTGGGAGCTTGTTCTTCATCCAGAGCCCTGTCCTACTCATCCTGTATTCCCAGATCTGTCAAAGTACTCACTTGTCATAGAAGCTAAATGTTGAATGTATAAATAAACTAATCAATCTTTAAGTTACTGAATCCTAACTATTTAGATAGAATAATATCTAAACTTTAAGAAAATTAACTGACATAGTACTAGTCTTTCTATACCTCTCAAAAGTGTGGTTTCATCTAGTCAATGAAGACTGTACACAAAATGAACCAAGCCTTGTATGCACATATGAATAATAAAAGAAAAATGAAAAAAAAAATCCAAAATCCAAAAAAAAAAAAAAAAGACTGTACACTTACATTGTGAGAGACTGAAGGGAAAAAAACCTGACATTACAAGCCATATACTCAAGCTGCAGAGAGCTAAGAAATGAAGATAAATTTTTTAACTACCCAAGAGGTATAGATGTTAGTGTCAGGCGTCTTCAAAGAATATAGAGAGAATTTGGGCCATGGGCATGAGAAAGATGCATAGAATTCAAGAGGTACCAAAAAAAGTGTTTTGCTGCTGTTCTACTAAAGCTGAATACAAGTTGGATAAAGAACACATTCCAGTCAGAAAGCAAGACATGAACGAAAGTGCCAGGGAAGGAAAACAGATTAGTTCAATTAGACTACAAGACAGATTTGTTCATTTATTCATTCATTTATTCATTCATTTGGCAGCACTGAGGATTGAATTCAGAGCCTTGCACTCGCTAGACAGGCATTCTACTACTTAAGCCACACCCCCAGCCCGAGAATACTTTAATTACCTTGATTTTTGTTTGTTTGGGATTTAGGGGGGGCCATTAATCATTTTTACTGAGGTGACCTCACATAACAGAAAGTGAACAATTTTTTAATGAGCAGATCCATGGCATTTAGCACATTTTGGCATGTTGTGCAATTGTCACTCTATCTAAGTTCAAAAATATTTCTATTGTTCCAAAGTAAAACCACTTACCCTTAAGCAGTTACTCCCCATTCTTCCTCCCCTTAGCCCCATCAACCACCAATCTGCTTTCTATCCATATGATTTACTTATTCTGGATATTTCATATAAAGGTAACCACAATATATAACTTTGTCTAGCTTCCTTCACTCAGTAGTATTTGCAAGGTTCCAGCATGGTGTAGCATGTGTCAGCACTTCATTTTTGTGGCAGCTTCCCTCATATAATAAAGCTCAAACACCACCACCCCCTCCGCAGCCCTCAGGACTCCATCTGTCAGGAGATCCACGTGAGGCCTGGCTATGCCTTACATGCTGACATGCACCCTGCAGAGGGACTCCAGCACCAACATCCCACAACCCACAGGAAAGCACACCCAGGGGCACCTGCTCCACGCTGTGTGGATATAGGCCAAACAGCAGCTTCACATCACTTCTCTTTGTCTTTGCTGGGGCTCAGAACATGACACCCCGAAGAACAGCACCTTTGCCTGCTGAACACTTTGAATTGAATGACTTAGGATGAGCCTCAGAAGCAAGGTCTCAACCTTCTCCTGCCCTTCTGCCTCAAGTCCCTCATTCTCCCCCAAAGTGAGTCACAGAAACTAAGTCATAGAAACCAGAACTCTTCTCCTCCAAAGCAAGTCATAAAACTTGAAAGGTTATCTCTCCCTGCTCCTTTCAAGATGTTCTTTCCATAAGGGTCTCTGAGGAGAGGAGCAGTGCTACATAGAGAGGCCAAGAAAACTCTGGACAGGCCTTGCTGGGTGCCTCCTAGACTATGACCATTAGATCACATCCATTTTATCCAATCACATTTCTACAGGGCTGTCCATTTTTCATCAAAACAGCTTTCCATGAGTCTTTGTGTCTTCATTTCTGAGGTCTCCTGTATCACATAAAGTTTTGACGAAATGTATTATGGTTTTCCCATCCTAACCAGTCTTTTGTTATAGGAGTATCAGCAGTGACCCTTAATCCACCCACTATACAGTTTTTGACACCAATGTGGAGCAGCTGAGACACTGACTTGCTCTGAAGCATGCAGATGAGAGTCTAGAATGACTATCAACGAAAAAGCCAGTAAAAAAAAAGGTTGTTTTTTTTTTTTAAACCAATGTCAGCTCTTCTGGAACTGTGCCTATAGTGCCGCGTCAAGAATGGAAAGTAAACGTTTCTCTCCAAATCTGAGTTAACAGGAAAAAACCATTTGTTATTAAATAAATGTGTTATGCTTTTCTCTTATTAACCTGTCTTTTGTTATAGGAATGACTGTCATGAAGTGATGAAAGGAATCACACCTTTCAGCCCGAACATATTCTTGCTACTATATGTCTGCAAACAGCCAAATTTGCTATCAATGTATAATGTAGCAGCAGCCAAGGACATGCTAAGAACACACTTCTGCATTTTTCTATAGACAGGCTTAGTAGACATAATTGGCTTAAGCAACTGGATCTTATTAGCAGGCTTTTTGTTTGTTTGTTTGTTTTATTATTCATATGTGCATACAAAGCTTGGGTCATTTCTCCCCCCTGCCCCCACCCCCTCCCTTACCACCCACTCCGCCCCCTCCCTCTCCCCCCCACCCCCTCAATACCCAGCAGAAACTATTTTGCCCTTATCTCTAATTTTGTTGAAGAGAGAGTATAAGCAATAATAGGAAGGAACAAGGGTTTTTGCTGGTTGAAATAAGGATAGCTATACAGGGCATTGACTCACATTAATTTCCTGTGTGTGTGTGTTACTTTCTAGGTTAATTCTCTTTTATCTAACCTTTTCTCTAGTTCCTGGTCCCCTTCTCCTATGGGCCTCAGTTAC